GTGCTTCTTAAGCTGTAAAGTACATTTCCTCATCTGGGGAATCTTGGTAAAATGCAGAGTCTGACTCAGTAGACCTGAGGTGGGGCCTGAGATTCTGTATTTCTAATAAGCTCGCTGATGATGATGATGGTGATGATGATGATGGTGAAGCTGATGGTGACGATGATGGGGACAGTGTTAATGATGACGATGATGTTTATGATGATCTGAGAACCACAGTATGAGCAAGGACACAGAGGTTCCTCCACAAGCCATGGATCAGAAATTAAGTCATCTGGAAAAAAAACTTCAAAAACAAACAAACAAAATAATTCCTTCAGCAAAAGACTGCACCAGGTACTCTTAACTGTTGATGTTATACAGAATGAATGCATGTGAACAGATTTTCCATTATAACCCAACACCATCATCATGGACACCTGTCAGAGTCTACAGAGAGACGAAGTCAAGGCTTTCCATTTCTTTTAGCCCGCGTGCAAATGACTTTGTGAAAGAGGACTCATTAACCCAAGATTAGCAGAACAAGAAATAATTACCTAGGACTTAATGAACTGATTTAATTGTGGTTAATGATCTACTTTCTGATACATATATGAGAAATCCAATGCCTTCTTCTCTATTTCTAAACCTCAATTTAACAGGCTATAGTTGAACTAAGTGGAATGAAACACTCCTCAAATGGTGCACTATTCTTACACCGTAGAATAAAAAAAAAGCCTATAAAAGATCCTAAAGTAAGTTATAAACTAATATAATAAAAATGTCTCTGTAAAAATAATATTTTGTTCTACCCCATGACACCTCCTCCCTGCAGACTGCAGCTGGAGTATTTTATGCTTATTGCCTCAGAGGGAGGGGTGTCATCATAAAAGGTACTAACACTGAGAGTCAAATTCTTGGCTTTGAAGTTTCAAAAGCCAAGCACAAGGAACAATCTTTATTTGGAACAGTTGGAAGACTATGTCATCATTCAGAGTCAGGATTCAGAGCTGACTACAAAGAGACAGTGTGCCCTGCTCTCCTCACCCTCCCTCCTATCTCCAGGGCAATGTCCCTGAAGTAATAAGGGTCTAGATACTCCTGAACCTAGCTGGGTGCAGGATCAGAATAACCGGCTACGCGGTGTGTCTAGGCAAAGGACTCGAAGGCAGTCTCACACGTTCCCATGATCCACAGTGTGGAACCTAACGGATGGGTTTCTCTCACTTCAGATGGAAGAATAGAATATTTCCTGGGTGCTTAAGAGGAGAGTAGAATTAGCTAAGAATGAGAACCTGGAATGACAGATACGCATGAGCAATCTACATGGAGAGAGGAGAGGTGACTGAGGTCCAGAAACGTCAAAGAACGTCTCAGCAGATGGCAGCACAGGCAGATGACAACAGAGGACCAGATGCTGCACCCCTCAAAGCTTCACCGCTCCTTCCCCAAAAAGAAGATTAAGTTTCTTCCACAGACAAAAAGGGAATTTGTAAAAGAAATTAAACTATGAATCATAAAGGAATTTGTTGCTTTCAATGATTCTACAGTTAGTGATTTGTAATCAATTAATTAGTTTTCTCTTTATGTTTTGCATTGATCTTCCAACATCTCCTGGTATGCACTCTGTAACTCTTTGATACACTCCATTTATTTACTTGGTTCTATGTTTGTACAACTATCTGAGGTGATAGCTCTCTCTTCACACTCTTCAATATGGTTGCCACTAGCTACCTGTAGCTATTGAGGACTTGAAATGTGGCTAGTCTGAATTGAGACGTGCTATAAATGTAAAATATGTACCAGCCTAGGAAGACTTAGCGTGGTAACAAGAATGTAAAATAGCACACTAATATTTTTTATAATCATTGCACATAGATAATATTTTGGACATATTTGGACATTTTTATATAAATAAAATGTATCATTAAACTTAATTTCACTTGTTTTTTTTTAATTTTTAAAAATGTGCCTGCTAGGAAATTTAAAATTTCATGTGTGACCAGCATTATATTTCTGTTGGACAACACTGCCCTATATGCTCATTCATATTCATCTCCTCTGCTTTCACCTGAGTAGCCACCATGTGGAAAAAAATTAAAAATTAATTTTTCCGTGTGGACACTCAATGATTATATAATTATGATGTCTAACATTTCCTGACAGGGTGTCCTGGAGATTACGTAGAAAATGTCTTACATCTCATTTCCTGAGGATTGAGAATGATCAGTTGGTCTGTAATTTGTACAAAAAGGAACAGATTGTCTTTAAAGTAATTAAGGCCAAGCCAATAACACTTCTGATGTTTTTTTAAAAATGCTTGGTAACTAAACAAATATAATTAAGGCAGTTTCACAAATGAAATAGGAATCAAAACAATGAGAAAAAATATTCTGAGTTTTCAACTCTGATTAGATTTATTATCTTATTTATAATCTTATATAATATGTAATGATACATTAAAAATAGGATAATTTGTTAAGGTTTTATTTACAAAGGGACTATTTATTAAAATATAGGGGAACAACAAGGACAGTGCATTAATCAAGGGCTAGTAGCATCTGAGATTTTTCACTTTTAGTCCTGAAGTTGGCCATTTAGAAAGGAACTGTGACCTTCATCTAGGAATATAGCCAGTACCAGGAAACCTCCTCGGGATGGAAGCAGGAGAATGAAGGCTTTATTTCATTCTTCCCCCGTTCTCCAATTTCCTGTTAGGGTTCCCCATCGGCCAACCCAAATGCAATCCAGAGGGCATGGGAGCCTTGTTAATGCCAGTCCATGCTAATCAGCTTCCCAGAGTACACAGCTGGGTGGAGAAGGGTGGAGAGTAAATCTGTAGGGCCATAGGGGAGATATATGGTAAATTCTGTTTTCAGAGTCATTCGCTATATTGCTAGACACATAAGTCAACCTTCCTTCCCTCCTCCAAATAGAGAATTAAACCTTGAAACCAGAATAGGATTAGGAGACAGAAGTCCACTACCAACTCTGTGTTTCTCACACACAGCATGTTCTCTCTGGAGTACCTCAACCACTCTTATAGCCTCGGTTACTGGGTCTCACCTGGATCTCACCCCTCCACTCTAGGTGGGCATATGCAATTGTCTTCTGGTCAGCTTCACCTGGATGCCTTACAGGCTTCTCAAACTAGTATGTCCAAGCAAGTATCCACCATTTACTGGATGATATCCAGACCAAGTCACAGTACCAATGAATCGGTTTCTTTATTTTCTAAAATGAAGATCGAAAGTTTACAAGAGGCTTGATTTAATTATGACTAGGAGAGGTTCACACAGGTAATTGTGGTTATTTTAAAAAATCTGAAAAGTTCATGTCATTATCCATGGTCCCATACTAACACCAAGACATAGCTTGAGACTTCTGCAACTCACAATGTACTCTATGTAACCTTTAACTTGCTTTCACCTCAATAATTTTACTAGCTAATACTTATTGAGTTCTACTTATGCTTTAGGAACTTCACGTGTGCTCTTATGTAAGTCTTAGAAGAACTCTATTAGGATGAGGAAATTAGGGTTTAGAGGGGTTAAAGGACTTGCACAAGGCTACATAGCTGATAAGTGATAGAGCTGGGTTCCAATCAGGATAGCCTAACTTCAGAACATGTGCACTGCACTTTTCTGCAATACTAACATAAATTATTCTTACACACTAGGCAGAGGGGCTAAAAGGCCAAGCTGTTGCTAAGTCTGACATTGGAGGTGCTAGGTGTGAGGAAGGGGGCCAGGAGCTATAATAAGGCATGAATAAGCTGGAGAAGAGAGCTTATAAGGTGAAAGTAGCTAAGAAATAGGATCTTATTTTTTCTTTCCTTTTTTTGCTAAAACATTCCTTAAGCACGCAATTGTGCTGGATATTGGGGGATAGAAAAGTGATGGAGACAATTTGAGTCTGGGGGGAAGTTAGGTAAATACGTTATAATGAATTTTAAAAGTTAAGACAGACTTGTAGCAAGGTTCACAGCACATTAGAGAAATGAGATATACATAGAATTCATTTGTTCATTTCATTTATTAAAAGAGTATTTCTTGAGTCCCCACTACATTGTGCTAGAAGCTGGAGAAACAAAAAAAGAAAAAGGTACAGCCGTTGTCCTGTAGAAACACACAGCCTAGCAAAGACGTTTCTGGAGCAGCAATTCAGATAGCAAGAATGGAGCTACAAGGGCGTGGAGGGATTACACCACCTGGAGTGTTCAGAAAGTGCCAATTGTATAGTTAGCTATTACCTGAGCAAAAGGTTAAGGCTATGGGTTGACAACAGGAGAGAACACTAGAAAGGAATGCAGAGGACAGGTCTGACAGGGCTTGGACTTTTTACTATGACAACCCAGATTGCTTTTGGTGGAATCGCAAGGGGACACGCATTTTCCTGCAGCATCAGTTTTATTAAAATAATCTGCAGTACAAAAGCACATGCTTTTTATTATTAAGATATGGATGTACTGTGTAGTTGAATGCAACAGCATACGAATTAGTAGGGTATGACAGGAAATGAAATTCCACAGCCAGGCAGACAGATGGCTTTGGTTCTCTCCCCTGAAGACCCTGGGGCAGGAGTTCATTTCTCAGCTCCCAGAGGATTTAGGGCAAGATAGTTGCAGAACACTGAACATTTTAAGCGTGCGAGAGAACTGTTAGGAGTTAAGCACACGGACTGGGGAGAGGCTGCGGCGCAGGAAACTAGAGAGGGCCTGTGCTCTCCTCTGCTCCTGGACCTCCTAGGTCTTCCAAGAAGACCCTCCACCTGGTGCCCCTTTGTCACCAAAGAGCCCCTCTAGGTCGGGAGTTGCCCTTTCAACTCCCGACGCCTCGTTGCCAGGGCACCTCTCTTCCGCCCGGCGCCTCTGCGGCCTTCCTGCTATTGGCTTAGAGGACGCAGCGTTCGTCTTACGTCACTGCGCCGCGCCGCCAGATCCGGGGACCGCGCGAAGCCTCCTTCGTCCTCGAGCCCTGGCGCCGGCTGGTGGGACCGGCGGCTCTTGGGCGAGCGGGCGCCGGGCTGGCTAGTGTGCAGGTCTCGACGGGAGAGAGGAGCGGTAGGAACGGGTCCCCGGAGCCGTGGGCCGCGGGGGCGAGGGTCCCGCGTTGCTCTCTCGGCCCAATCGGCTTCCTTTCTGGCCCGTTGCTAGGGCCGCCTGACCCCGTTGTTAAGGACCCCGGAGGTGCTGAGGGCGCCTTTCCTTCCTGGGCTTCGGCTTTGGCCAAGAGTAGCACTGGTTGGCCTTAATTGAAACTGGTTGCGTTCCCCCCCGACTCCTCCCCCACCCCCCCTTAAAAAAATCCCTGTTTTTCTCCATTTTTTCCTTTATGTCCTCCTCATTTTCTAACTTTGACAACACCCTGGCCCTGAACTGGTCTTAGGTATTTGGAAATATATGGTGTTGGAGGGGGCGTGGCTAGGAAAATGGAAAGCAGATTTTAAGACCCTTAGTACTGGCCCTTTGGATGTACTTGATGGTAAAAAGGGATTGAGATAGGTGAATGTTGGGTTCTGTCGCTGGCCTTTGGTGTTTGAAGGAGCTTTAAGAGATGGAACACGGCTTTAGTACGGCGCCTGTTACACTTTCAGAACGTTGCAGACACCGGATTAGAGAGTAGGAAAAAACGTGGCCTCTGTCCCTGAGAATTTAGCAAGCAATTTAGTGCTGTGGTCTCAAAGCGGTGTGCGGGAAGAAAGTGCATGTAGGGAAAGAAATAGGAAAGATGAGCTGTCCAGAACAATGAAAGGACAGTATGTTTTCCAAGCATTGGCACAGATGCCTACAGCCCCTTGTAGATGACCTAAGGACACCTAAGGGAAAAGTGAGGGTTCCACAGTGGGGGGGGCCCTGCTTGGTTTGTTCGCTCTCTGATATTGTGACATCGTTTAGGAATTCGGGTAAGTGGATTTATGGATTCTAGTATCTATTTAGAATCTTTATATTGTTATGTAGAAGAATGAGGGGTGACCTTGATAATATTTATAACACAAGATAGTTCTTACGTTGTCCTACTACCATTACCCGTTTATACCACCCTTCACATGTTATTTAATGAAAAAGCACTTAAAAGCATGAGATGAGCGTAAGGTGAATTAAGCATTTTTCTTTTACAAACAACTCATGCTCCAGTTTTGTTGTCAGTGGTATGCTCCCAGGTGGATATTTTAAAAAATTGAACACGATTAAGGTAAAGGGTGATACTTTTAGCAATAAGTGGAAAAGTAATCGATTTGGAGAGAAACGCTCCTAATATAGAGTGTTTTGAAAGTGGACATAGAAATGTTTGCATCCTTGTGTGTGTGTGTGTTTTAATGTTGCTGAAAATTATGTAAGTATATTACACATAAAACTGTGCTGTATACTTAAAACCTTTGGAAGCTCAATTTTCTAGCATGTTTAAGTTTTTCAAATGAGTTTCAGTGGCTTTTTGAACTCATTCGAAATATAATGCAGCACCTTCCATTAGTACCTTACAAGAACAATTTTTTTACATAAAGGAAGATAGAAATTTAGTTGTTGTGATGAAAACTTTTGAAGAATTGGTAAGGAGTGTTGAAAAATGTGCATCATGATTTGATGTTGCCAGCTATACTCTTTTTATGTTTGTGGGTAGGCATCTTTGTGATGCATCTCTTTTAGCTATGACAGCTATTACAATTTACCATCAAAAGAAAGTGAACTTAAACCAGATCTTCAAATTGATGAAGCCCAAAGTATTAAACCAGATTTTTCAAAAAGAAAACATATTTAGTTATGTTGACCCCACTATTATTAGTAATACTAATACTAAAAACCACTGTACAATTCTAAAGAAAATGATAATAGCTAAAACTCATATAGGACATACTGTGTGCCAAGCACTTTTCTAAATGTTATACATATATTAACTTATTAGTCATCATCAACATTTACAGTAGTTACTGTAATTAGCCCCAATTATAGAGTTGAGGAAACTGAGACACAGATTTTCTTTGTTTAAACAGAAACTTAGATCATGTTGTTCCCCATCTGGAGCTTCTCAAAATAGAGACCAAGTACGGTAGTAAATACTTGTTGAATAATCACTGAAGTGCAATATTAGATTGACATATTTAATGCCTGCCTTAACTTATCCTAGAATATTATCTGACAAATTTAATGAGCTATGAATTACTATATTTCTAGAAAATGACTTGAAGATGAATGTGATGTGTGATATTGGGAAGTAAGTCATCTGCTGGTTGTAGGATGAGAAAATTAGGTCAATGTATTAAATCAAGAAAATTGAAATTTGAAATTATTCTATGTACGGAAAGAATCGTACATTTAGTTTATCTTTACAAAGTACTTTGGTCACATCATGACTGAAATATTTTTGGTTTGAATGTGATGTGGAGCTTTGTCCTCCTTCTGAAAATTTCTAATTTGCCAAGTAGATTAAAATCATCTCATGTGAGGAATCATTTAAGAAGGCATCAATGTTTGTCCTGAAGAAGAAAAGATTAAGGAGTTTGGAGTCAGTGTCCTCAAATATTTGAAAAGCTGTCATTTGGAAGTTGAAGAGGACGTCATCTGTGTTGCCTTCAGGAAAGATCTTACAGTGTAGTTGAGGGGTAGTCTTATATCTAATGACTGAAGTCTTAAAGTGGGAAATGCTCTAATGGAAGAATAACTGGATGTTGTGCAAGTAGGGGAACCTAATAATCAAGTAGAAATCAGAAGGAGGCAGTGCAGAAATCAGAGTGCCGTGGAAGTGTACGTTTGAGAAACAGACAATTGGGACAGGCTGCATGGAGCCTGGGAGTAGAGCTGGACCTAGAAATACCAGCAGGCTTGGGGTGTGTGAGTCTGGGGGTGTGTGGTGGAGGATTCCTTGGTAGAGAAAGAAGTTCAGAAATTTGTTGGATTAGGCAGGAAACCGTGAGCTATGAAGTAGCTAGCCCTCCCATTAGCAGAAAAGAGGAAATTGTGGAAGAGGGGTAAGTGAATCACCATTCAATAGGTGAGCAACTTGATATGTTATCTTATTTACTCCTGAGTAACAGCCTTAATAGGCTTCTATTGTCTCCTCCTTTTAATAGGTCAGGAAGTCGAGGCTTAGGGAGATTATCTGCCTAAATTCGTAAACCTGGTACTTGGTAGAGATGAGATACAGATCCAGATCTGCGCCCAAGGCTCCTTCTCCCTCATCACCCCACATGGATTGCATCTGTAGGGTTGAGTGTACAAAGTGCAAGAAAAGGAGGCAACAGTGATCCTGTTTTTCAGCCTGAGGGACCAGAAATCTGGTGGTATCTTGAATTAGCAAGGGGTTCATAACTTCACTGTGATAACCTCAGTGTTGGTTATGTTCTGTGTAAGGAGCTTGTAGTACATTGAGTAGGAGAGTTCATTATGTCGGTGGAAAAGTAGGACTTGAGATGCAAATGTTAACATTTGGAACTTTGGCAATGTAGAGGCCAGAGAAGATGGAGACGGTGGGGGATGTGCCAACCACTCTTTTCAGAAATCTAGTCCATGTTTTCTGAATATAGCCAGAGGATTACAATTGAGTTTCTAAAAGTATATTTTGACAGTTTGAATGGAAGAAAAATGTTTATTTTTATACATCTTATTTTCTAACAGTTTTTAATTTGATGTTATTGATATTATTGAAGTTGAGATAATTTCATATTTTCTCATTGGTCTTTTAGGTATTTTGCTCCATACCTTACCTTATTTGTGTATTTTCTATTCTATTCTGTTTTGGTCTTTATGTTATGAATCCTCTTCCCTCAAAATTTTGAAATCAAGTTTCTGTTAACAACAGGAGTAAAAGGGAAGCAATGCAGAAATCAGAGTACCATGGAGGTGTACAGTTGAGAAGCAGAGTGACAGGTACACACGTTGCTTTTTAAAGGAAGAGGTGAATTTTGTTACTGACACATTCTGTTATACAGATGGATTGCTTTCACCTCTTTTTTGTTGATCTTCTGTTTTTTACAGATAATTGTGATCAAAGGATTTCATCAAGCACACAAATAAAACATAGGACTACAGGTCAACGAAGCAAATCTTCATCATCAACCAGTTCGCCAGAGTCTACAAGAAAACATCCTCGACCAAGTGATAAACTTAACCCTAAAACAATTAACCCAGTAGGTACAAAAGAGATTCCTGACTGTAGATTTTTCAGAGTAATATGCACTTAGCACACTATTGAACCATTCTGAATGCTATCATAAGTTTCTTTTGTTAGTTTTAAGCTAGCGATGAAGGAGGGGCATATGGCAATCATGATAAAGAATGGAGATAATGATGTGCATGTGAGATTGAGTGTGGAGATGAGAAGGTGTAAAGGAGAGATTAACCAATTTTGGTATATCCTGTCACATTGAGTGACTATTTTAATAGAGTAGAAATAAATTGCGTATCAGCTTTTTTTATTTACTACGGTTATTTGACTTCCTATTATCAATGAATAAACTTGTGTTAAATTGCCATAGGATGAATTACGTGCTTCCACAGTTGCATAAAGGTCTCTGACCGTTTCTCTGTGATCTGGAAATTAGCTCCACCTGAAATTCAAGCTATAGTACTAGCCTCCTTTTGCCTTCTCACAGCAATTTAATCAGATTTAGCAAACATGAGATTTATGCGCATAAAAGTGTGTAATTGTAAGTGTATAGATCAGCGAATTATCCAAAAGTGCACACACCCGTGTAACACCACCAGGTGGTGTCTGGTGCAGCTTTGCGTAGGGTAAGATGATACTGGTTTCAGCCTTTAAAGGGGGCTAGGAGAATGGCTGAGACACTGATGTTGATGGCAGGTAAAATGTGACAGATACTTAAGCAAGGATACAATAAACTATCCGAGGGCAGAAGAATATTGTCTGACCTTATAAAAGAAAAATGAAAAATAGTTTATCTATGTTCGTTTGCTTTTTTCCTGTAATCTATGCAGTGTCAAGGAAATTGAATCCCTGAAGAAAGCCCTAAAGTCTTTTTGCCATACTTCCTTTTACCCACTCTATTTGAGAGAGTTTATGGTGACACTTCAGTTTTCTTTCTCTCTTTAAGGAAAAACTTTTAAAAGTAATAATATTTAGTAGCCCTAGTCATAAATTTTGTTAAAAATTTAGGAAAGTTTGGGGAATAAGGTAATGATTTGACCTTAGAATAGAGTACATTAGAAAAGATCATGTAAAAACTGTGTAAAAGCTGCCAGTCCAAAACAAATCAACTGGAAGTCGGGGTAGTGCTTGCCTTTGGGGGAAACGGTGAGTAGGAGTGTTGTTACACAGCTGTGTTTGCTTTCTGACAATTCACTGCACTGTGCGTTCACAATTTATGCACTTTCATATGTATAAATTTAAGTATTTGAATCAGAAATGTTTTTTAATTGCTAACTCAGTGTAGTGGTGTGTATTTAATGATTGTTTTAGAGTTGAAATATCGTCTGTGGTGATATTGTTTAAAATTGAAGGAACAACAGTTTTGTTTGCAGTAATGGAATTTTGGTAAAAATTGATAAAATAAATTTATTTGTAGAAAAAAAATTTGATTCTGTGGGACCTGGAAGATGAAACAATGGTTATCTCTAAAATGAATTAGAAAGAAAAGGAAAAGAATTGCTTAGAATTTCAATCAGAAATTTTGTCTTGGTGTGTGTCTTGGGAATTTAGGGATTATGTATGTGACCTGTAGGTCCGAAAGTAAGGTCATTTGCTAATAGGTGGTAAAACTAAAAAAGTGTGTGTAGCCTTGATTTGTCTTAATTTTTTTCCCCAAGATAAACAATACTTTTTCAATTAATTTCCTTATCTGACATGATTATTACTTGAAAACAACTTTAAACTTATATTTTTCTTAGCAGGAATTATAACTAGATGAATGAAACATTATTATTGCTGTGAATTACTACACAGAATATAGATTGAGCTTTGTAAATGAATCTTTTATTATAATATTTTAGTGAATTTCACCTATGTATTTTTACTCAAAACATATGTGTTTTTCCAAAGGAAAAAGGGCTAATTCTAAACTTATACTCTTAAGTATATTTTTAAATTACTGCATGTGATTAAAAAATTTTTTTAGGTAGTTATATCTTTAAAATGGGTTAGTAAATTTATATTTTGTAATTTAGACAACTGTGTTTCATTTGGTTATTTTCAGAGTACCATGTGGTAAAATATGTACTTTTTGTGCCTGAATCCTCTTTAAGTCTCTGATCAATTATATTGAAATGTATATTGTGATTGTGGAACTGTTGTGATTGATCATCTCTTAAATCCTCTTTGAGAGTAGATACAGAATTTATCTAGTCTTAAGATAATAATGTATAGCAAAACTGAAACTTGTAAAGTTATATATCTAAGGAGATACATCCAGGCATATGTTGGTGCGAGCCTTGCTCCATTTTCAACTCTATCACCCTTGCCCAACCTAAGCCTTTGATTTTTATAGGAGCATAGAGCCAGTTTGCAGAAATTGCAGGTTCTCTGACCATCCAGACCATCCATATTTGGCTGGAGAACAAGTAGGAAATGTGCTGGAGGCTGAAAACAAATACACGGTCTCTGTACTTAATACCTTATCTCCATTTAGCCCTCACCTTGAAAGGTAACAGTGGGGGGGGGGTGGAAAGGTGTATTATCTGTATTATATTTATTTATATTTAACAATATTTATGTTATATGTATATATGGTTTCAGCTACCTTCAAGCCTTCTGAAACACGTTAGAGGTAAAAGGAAATATACAGACGTGGTTGTGGTTTCAGTGCTGAGAGGATTGATGCTTTTTCTCCGTCATGTTGCCGAGTAGAAGGATGCACTTGATACCGGTGTGATGGTTTGCAAGTCAGGGCATCCGTTTGCCTCTGTCCTCAGCAGGATTAAAATTAGTTAGCTGTCACAAGGGGAGGTGAGAGTAATATTTATTGTATTCCTGTCATTTTTTATTTCAGTTTGGTGAACAGTCACGAGCCCCTTCTGCATTTGCAGCTGTTTACTCTAAAGGAGGTATTCCTTGCAGGTAAAATCAACACAAGTTATAACTGACCATATTACTCAACGTAGTTGAGTAAAATCAATACAGTATTCAGTTTAAATGTATCGGAAGTTTTCTTTACTAGGGAGAAGGAAATAAAGGTGACTTATTCACTCTTTGGCTGTTGGATTGGTATAGATCCTGGGACATTATTGAAGAGAATCATTTTAATTTCCAAATGGAATTACCAGTAGATCTACAGTAAACCACCAAATGATTTAAGAAATTGAATGAACCAGTTTCTGAAACAATTTAAGCATTCACAAGCTTGAGCAAGTTGCAAATAAATAATCTTATTTTGTTTATAAACTGAAAGTTGACAATTTAATGAAATTGTTTCATTATTTTTTGAAATTTCATTTCAAAAATTAAAAATTTCAAAATTGTATCTACTGAAATTGTACTGTATTTCTTAATGAGGTCATATGGCTGTTTTTGCTTACCTTTGGTATAATTCTTGCTGCCTTTCTGGACAGACATCAGAACTATTTAAAAAAAAACAGTATAGGTTACTAAGAAAGTGTTATCATTTTAAGATTTTACTATGAAGAGGCATTTTTCTCTTCAAAGTATATCCAGTTTTAGCCTGCTCTAGATGATATAAATCTCATTTTCATTGTGGAAAGAATAATCACAACATTCTTTTTGTTGTTGTTGTTCTAAAATTCAGGAAATGTAGTTTTTAATGGTATTTTCAGATTTGAAGGACAATGAGTGAAAAATAAACTCAAAAATCATTCTTCAATTTATTGTTATTATTATAATTTACATTCTGAATTAAAGCCCTATTTTAAGGTTCTTACATCCCTTCCCCACTCCGAGAAATTTACTGCTGCTAAAAATGTGAAAACAGTGTTACCCAGGCCTCTTGCTCTTATGAAAATAACACTAAAGAAGGAGTCAAGGAGTTGAGAACGTTACAAAAGGGATGTGAAGAAACGTTTGGAGGTGATAAGTTCACTGTCATGATTGTGGTGATGGGTCAGTGGATATATTCATACATCAGAACTTAACACATTGTCTGCTTCACATGTGTGCAGTTTATCGCATGTAGTTATGCCTCAATGAAGGCTGTTAAAAACAAAGCAGCGGCAGCAGTGACTGTAACTCAAGGGGCTATCACTTTGTTCCTCTGCACGGGCCCTTTCGCCTTGCTGGGCTCAGCCTTCTTCTCTTTAACAGGGATAAAACCTGGCTTGCCTTCAAATCATTAGTGTTAGAGTTAAATGATCTCTGTATCTACATCTGAAAAACAATGTTCAGTGTAAAACAAATTATTGTTTCTAATTATCACATTTTGTTTGCATTTTTCATTTTCTATAGGTTACCTGTTTTGTTATAATTATGATTGAAGCATATGTAACATTTGCATTAAGACTCACAAATAGCAACATGCTTGAGCTCCAAAATTGTAGGCTTAACAAATAGGGTGTTGTTTAGTTTTGCCACCATTTTGCTGAAAGAGTAGGAATTTGTAGGATTATAGACATTGCTTTATAAGATGTCTTTGTAATATGTTTTAAAGTCATGGTATTCCTACATGTTATAAAATAATTCTAATATCGTTATGTTCTAGAAAGAGTATGTATATGTTAGGTAATCAGTTTAATATATAATTATATTGTGCTAGTTACATTCACCTACTTTTATATTTTAGATTGGTCCATGGTTCAGTAAAACACAGATTACAGTGGGACTGTCCTCCAGAAAATCTTCCATTTGATCCTCTTCTTATTACTTTAGCTGAGGTAAATAAATACTCTCCATCTCTCCTGAATGTTTATGGGAAAAAAAATCTTTTAAAATTGCATTAAATACTATTTTCTAACTCATCAGTAAATCTTATTCTTTATTTTTGAAATAAGAGCTAAACAATAGGCATTAAAACACCACACTCCCTTAGGAACTAATTATGATTGGTACATGTTTATTAGCAACTGATTAATCAGCTTTATAAACATGAAATTAGTCTACACAGGGATTTGTAGATAAGCAGATGAAATATTTTTACTTAATTCTAAAAGATAAAGGTACTTGGAATCATAACATGGAAGAAGATTATGTGTTGAACTAGTCAATTCGGGAGAACATCAGTAGTTTAAAGTTAAATTATATCAGATAACGGTGAGTGGTTGGTCTGATCTCTATACAGATAGTCATGTGAAACATGATGTGTTTCATAGAGAACTGATATTAACTACCTCAATGTCCTTTTGGAGAATTCTCTGGGATTTTGCCTACTTGTACCTTTTAAGTAAGAGTATCATGGAGGTGGTTTTCATAGAGGATTTTAGAAAAAACACTGATAGATTCCTTTATATTGTTTAACATTTGTGTCAGGAAAAAAGTTGGCAGAGTATTAGCTTGAATTTTATTCCTAGAGTTAGAGTCAGAAGTGGAGAAATAAACTAACCAGTTGTCTTATATTTAAACTTTTAGATACTTGCCTTTTTTAAGAGTTAAGGATCATTTTTTGTTGTTGTTAAGAAACAAGTCATTAAATTAGAGCTTTAATGACAGTAATCTGAATAGGCAATGCTATGTTTATAGGATAAGTCGTATAGTAGTAAGTGTTCTGAATAAAAACATGACAATGAAGAACTCAGGTGTTTTTTCCTTTTTTTAAAGAAACATTTGCCTTTCCTGTAAGACTAGTGGAGAGGGCTAGGTGGGAGGAGAGCAGAAAAAAGTAGATAATTTTGCTAACTTAGATTTCTTACTTGTAATGAAACATCAGAATTGGTAGTTCTTCCTTTAGTTTTCCAGGTGCTTTTACTCTCCAAGTGGACATATCAGCTACTACCAAAGACTGCCAAATTGGTTTAGGTCTTTGCTTTTCTTCATTTATACCTCAGCTTTCAAAATTATTGTGGTATAATCAGTGTATTTTATGGGTAGCCTGTTTTGAATTTCAGTTTTGATCAAAATCTTTTAAACTTGGTATTAAAAATTAAAAATCAATTGATGTTTCATTTAGTTCTTTTTTAAACTTTAAACTTTTTTATATAGTAGCAGACTATTTTTTAGATGAATCAAAACTCGACTGATACCTTTGAAAACGTACTCCAGCTAATCACGAGGTAGGGTGAGTGCTGTAATTCGACGAGTCCCTAAAGGGGCTGTGAGTTTAGTTTAGGTCACATAAAGTCAGTCCTTTAAATACCTGTTTTCCGAACAGCAGTGCTTTTTTTTTGTACTGGGTAGGTTTTTAGCCTTCCCCTCCACTCCTTTAATAATGGGGAAGTACTGACAGAGCCACCACTATTAGAATCCACTTCACCTCGTAAGCTGAGATTCCTCGTCTCTAAAATGAACAGGCTAGGTTTTAGGGGTACTAGGGGTACTGCTAAGATGATAGAACCTGTGTTCCAAAATGGTGCCAGTGTGCTTGGCAGCAGAGTTTTCAAAAGCATGATAGCATCGAGGAGAGGAAGTGTTTGATCACTGTTGGGAAGCATAGTTTGGTCTAAAGGACAAATTGGTTGAAAATTAATATTTTTAGGAATGACTTTGCAGCTGGTTATACTTATTTACAGATAATCGTTAGTCAAACTGAGGGAATATTGCTATTGCTTTTTTTGTTTGTTTTGTCTTTTTGAGAAAGATGGCCCTTTTATCCTGACTCAAAGTGATCAGTTAAATCAAGGGTATTATCTGATTGTTTCTAATGCATTGAGGGTGAAAGGCATAGTGAGAAAACCTCTACACAGGTTTTATTCATGTGTTTATTTCACATTCCAATGTTAAAAATGACATCTAATATCTTATAATGCTTTTTGAACAGTTTTGTGACAACATGGATGGACATTGAGGGTATAATGCAAAGTGAAATGAGTCAGAGGGAGAAGGTCAAATACCGCATGATTTCCTTCATTAAGTAGTAGATAATAACAACAATAAACAAACACATAGGGACAGAGATTGGATTGGTGGTTAGCAGAGGGGAAGGGGGGAGGGAGGAGGGTGAAAGGGATAATTCGGTACATGTGTGTGGTGAAGGGTTGTAATTAGTATTTTGGTGGTGAACATGATGTAATCTATGCAGAAATAGAAGTACAATGATGTACACCTGAAATTTTTACAATGTTATAAACCAATGTTACTGCAATAAACAAAAAATTAAAAAAAAAATAAATAAAATAAAATAAAATAAAATACAAAAAAAAAAAAGATTTGTCCTCTAAATATCTTAATATTTAAATATGAAGGAAATACAGTATTTTAGAAACACATTAAACAAGATGTAAAATCACCATAAAGTTAGAGGGGGTCCAATAATTATGCATTCATAAAGTGACATTTTATTCATAAACATACATTGTAAACTAATTTGCTATGCTTCCAGGCAGTGTTTGGGAATTTATACAAAATGTTTTTAGTGTCCTAGTGAGTTTCTCTTTTTCTTTTTTGCTTTTTCTTTACCTTTCCTCTCCCTCCTTCCCTCCTCCTCCTCTATCTTCTTTCCTTCCTTTTCTTTTTCTCCCTTATTTCCTTTATTTTTCCTTTCCTTTAATTTTTTATTCTTTTTTTTTTTTCCCTTCCTTCCTTCCTTCTTGTGGGTAGCGATTCCTGTCTCATATATGTGCTTTGTTCCGCAATTTCTCAGTTTAATTGAAATTACAATTACTGAAATTCTATTTCATAAACAGGAAAACAGTAATAGCAACACTTGATTTTCACTTAAACTAGTAAGGATTCAATTTGTTTTTGTTATTAGCAGAACTAAGTGCATAGTAAATCATGAGTCTTTTGGTCTTTGGCAGGGTCTGAGAGAGACTAAACATCCATACACCTTTGTGTCGAAGGAAGGTTATAGAGAATTACTTTTGGTCCAGGGTGCTCCTGAAAAAGCTGTGCCTTTGCTTCCTAGACTGATTCCTGTGCTAAAGGCAGCTCTGGTATGTCCTTTATTCCTTTGGACGTTTTATGGTACATTTAGAATATTTTACGTCTTTCTTTTCCTCCAAATTATATGCAAATTTGTCCTTTACCTATGATTTTGATGTGTGTGCAGAATTAGGCCACTGTTATTCAGGGCCAGATGATTACTTACTTGAAGACATCTTTAGAGGATGTACTAAAGGTAGAAAGGGACATTTTAAGTAATTGGAGAAAGTAATGAACCTTGAATCAGTCTTTCTGCGTGCTAGGATATATTTTAGTTAATGTTTTAGTCAAGCTGAAAATTTTTTTGCTTCTAGATGTCTTGCATTAAGGGTTATTTTTTACATTCTGGGTTTGGTTGATTTTCTTCTAATTTTGAATGTTCAATCCTACTTTTTTTCCACTGACTTGCCCTTGCTCCTAACCCATCCTTCCTTTCCTTTTTTCTCTTCTTTCCCTCCCTGCCCCTACACCCCTAACCAACCAACCCCCCACAGGTCCATTCGGATGATGAAGTGTTTGAAAGAGGATTGAATGCTCTGGTACAGCTCAGTGTTGTTGTTGGTCCTTCTCTAAACGACCATCTGAAACATCTACTTACAAGTGTAAGTACTGAAAAGATTAGAGAGTGGTTGTGTATATGTATCATGCAATATCTGTATCTCTTCGTGATTTAATGGCTTCAGATTAATCATTAAAATGATTCAGAGCCTTAAAAAAAAATTCATCATCCCAAAACCCAAAAAATATAGAGATCAGACCTAGTAGTTCATAAAATTTTTTTTTTTTTTTTTTGAGGAAGATCAGCCCTGAGCTAACACCTGCCAATCCTCCTCTTTTTGCTGAGGAAGACTGGCGGTGGGCTAACATCCGTGCCCATCTTCCTCTACTTTATATGGGACACCGCCACAGCATGGCTCGACAAGCGGTGCGTCGGTGCGCGCCCGGGATCCGAACTGGCGAACCCCAGGCCGCCGCAGCGGAGCACACGCGCTTAACTGCTTGCGTCACCGGGCCGGCCCAGTTCATAAAATATTTTACTAACGGACAGTATTCTCTTTAATTTTTTTTTAATGGAAACCACCTACATGAACAGAATTTAGGGTTATAATAAAAAGTAAGCAAATATTGAATGTTGAATGGGCGAAAGTTAATGAACAGTATAATGGTATCATGCCCATGTTGATTAGCTATGAATTATAAGCAGAGCTTATACACCCTCTTGGGTAATTGTATATTGCCACAGCCATGTTTTTCATCTTTCTTTGTTTTTCATTGTAAGTTTTTTAGTGAGTCTGTAAAGGGCATTCAGGATGAGACTTTTTCCAGATACATGTAGTTTAATCCTTATCACAGATATACACTGGGACACCGTGCAGTTCAGGAGATCCCCAAGACCACTCTTAGGTTTAACAGTTTGCTGGAAGGGCTCAGGGAACTCAGAAGAGCTGTTTTGCATTGTTACAGTTTATTACACTGAAAGGGTACAGATAAAAATCGGCGAAGGGAAGAGACGCATGGAGCAGCGTCTAGGAGAAACCAGGTGTGGAGCTTCCAGTTGTCCTCTTCCAGTGGAGTTGTGCAGACTCTGCTTCCTTTTTCCTGCAATGATGTGTGGCAACATGCATGGGGTATTGCCAACTAGGGAAGTCACCTGAGCCTTGGTGTCTAGAGTTCTTATTGGGAGTTTGTCACGCGGGCATGACTGCCTGCCTCCATGGTTGACCATAGTCTCCAGCATCTCCAGAAGGCGAGCTGATACCCTGTGGCCCAAGGTCCCCACCATAAATCACATTGTTAACATACATTATCTCTATCTTGTGTGGCCAAGGCCCCGAGGTAAACAAAGTCACTCTTATCTGGAAGGACATTCCAAGGGCTTAGAGGTTTCCATCCAGGAGCCAGGGGCAAGGGCCAAACCTTTCTTCAGGCAAAGTTAATCCTTTATTGCAGAAACTGATATAAAGATTAAAGTCTTGGCTGGAATAACCCACAGCTAGGATTTCTCTTCTTGCGTCCTTCTGTAGTTCAGAGCTGAGGCCTGTATTTTGATTGTAGTTCCACTGCTTTTTCTTGGACCCATCCATCCACCTGAGAGATCCTAGAACTGTATTTTTAACTTCTTACTCTGCAGAGAGTAGTACACCCCAGGAACCATCTGGCTAGGCCGCTAGAAAGTAGGGGTGTTGGTGAATCTTATCACGATTGCTGTGCTGAGGTTAGGAATGGTGGAGATGAATTCCCACCAGGTGTCTGATGGGGAGAAGACAGTGAGAATAGACTCTCAAACCTTGACATGTGGGAAGTCTTAGGACAGAAGAAAGAGAATCCTGGCAGATATTTGCTTATAACCTTCAGTTCAGTGGGTTGTGGCTGACTAACTACAGGCATGTCACACTAATGTATAAAATGACTCATTTTAGATTGATTGCTTCATTCAAGCTTCAACAGTTTAACATAAATCTGTTAACCCGTTTTGTGCCAGGTATTATGCTAGGCATTGGGAATATAATGCTGAACAGAAACAGATATGCCTTCTGCCCTTGTGAAGATTGGTTATTTTTGGTTTTGGGGGAGAAACAAGTAGCAAGGACATCCACTGAGAAAGTTGGGATGAGATGAGGGGAAGTGATATATAGAGAAAAGGAATCACACTGGAGCCTTCACCAAACTCAAAGCTGAGCCAGGACCAGAACCTTTGCTGCCTAAACAGCATCCATTCCCACCCACCATGGCAGAGAGAGGAGGCCAGGTTAGCAACTAAACTACTATAGAAGTTGTTGTTTTTTTTTTTTTAACCTTTCTGGGTCAGTAGTAGTAATCTTTGGTCACTCACGTTTTTCCCCAGAGCTCTGCTTTCCCTAAGCCTGAACTGACTGACAGGGCCTTTCACCTTACAGGTGTGTCAGCTGTTTGGGAAGACCTAGATACCACACTGGCCTGCAGATCCCACTGCCCTAGAGGAGAGAGCCTTGGAAATAGGCCCTGTGGGGATTAGATCTTGGTCTGTTAGCTACACATTGTGAGACAAAGCACCCTTGAGGATCCGTTGAGGTGCTATAGAGCTCCCTCCTTACCTCACTTACCCCCACCTGCCACCCCCTTCAGCCAGAAAGACTCCATTTTCATCTGTTTTGTAGACTTCTGCATTAGATGTTTATTTGAAGAAAGGGTTCCTTTTCTAGAATATGAATTTCAAAACAAGTTACTGAACCTATCTACAACTCATTTTCCTCATATGCAAAATAAGTCATCCTTTTTGAGCTTCAACTGTAAGACACTGTCCACTGTCCTCCCCTAGGTGAGGATCCCCTGGAGCAGTGATCCTCAAACTCTAATGACATAAATCACCTGGGAATCTTGATAAAAATGCAGAATCTGGGCCTTTGCTCTGAGATTCTGGTGAAGTCTGGGGCAGGACCCAAGAATCTGTACTTTTTTAGTGAGTGTGTCAGGTGATTCTGAAGGTGGTGCTTCTTGATCTGCCTGTAAACCCCTGCTCCAGGGGATCCAGGTCTGAAGAAAGCAAACCTGAGATCGGTAAGCAGCACTTTATCTTGTCCGTCCCCAGGGCATTGATAAGCCCTGCCTCTCGGCTCCTTTAGAGTTGCTTTTCTCACATTTTTATCCTTCTGGGAGTCTCTTCTGACCCTCCCTAACTTGCGATGACCTGACTGGAGGGACCTGCTACTTAGGCTCAGTGGTGTGAAGTATCCTGGCTTACCTCCATACCTGGGAGGAGGGAGAACCAGAAACCAACTCGAGGACAGGGCCTCATAAGCGTTTGATCAATGACTGAATTCTTGCTTAGGCCTTGTATTCCCAGAAAGTGGAGCCCTGAGTGAGTCCTGCTGTAGGCTGAAATGTTGGGTCTGTGGGAGTAATGCAGACACTTGGTGGGGGAACACGGTTACAGGTTGTGCTCAATGACCTGGATTGCTGATGTTTCCCTCTTCGCTCCTCTGATTCTGTCCTCACTCACCTGTGCTCTCTCCCTGTTCCGTCAGAGTTCCACCTACCCAACTGAGGCCCATTCAGGACATACCTAGGGACAGGTGGTACTGTGATTTCTCGTCTGATTCCTCTACCTGTCACTGTTACTGAATTATTCATGTAAATGCTCTCTTCTTTGTCGTCTCTTCCTTTTTTTACTATAGGAAACATAGGTGTTTTAGAGGCTTAGCTTTCCATCACAGTCCTCCAAATGCTCTTGCATATTACAAAATGGGAAAGTATGCAATTTCATAGAAAACTTATTCTGGATACCATACGGTAGCAGATTTTGTAGGATTGGTATTATTTGAAATAATATAAATTCATTTTTTAGACAAATATAGTGGTGTCTATTATATATAAATTTCAATGAGATATTTCCTAAAAGAAGCCTTGAAATCTAAAACAATTTAAGTGGTGTTCATGTACTTACTATACAGTAAAGACTCAATGGCATTATTTCTATGTAGCCTATTTTTTTAGTGAAGTTTTACTTATGTTTATGGTGAATATTGTTACTTTTTAAAATTATTTCATTCCCCCAATCTCATTTTAAAAGCTTTCCAAGAGACTGAGGGACAAGAAATTCAAAGAGCCAATCACCAGTGCGTTACAGAAGCTAGAGCAGCATGGTGGAAGTGTAAGTAGAACATGATTCCTTAAGTCATTTTTTTTTACATTTAGTCATATTACAAAATTGACTGTATAACATATTTCATTTCAGCCACAGGTAACCACGTGGAGTTGATACAATTATTTTCATTTTAGAGCTCAGAATTTCTGTCTTGCCTAGGTCACACAGTTTTTAAGCACTGGGGGCAGACCCAGGCGGTGTAGATACAGGGCCTGTCCACTTGCAGTGTGCTTATTGTATGGCACTCCGTGTGGTGCAGCTTTACAGTTCTTTTTTCTTCATCTTGGATATTTTTGCTTTGACCCTTGGGAAGTTGAGAAAACAAAAGATTAACCTAGAGTGCTCATTAAAGAAAGAGTACTTTTTCTCTTTTATTTGCTATCTTTTCTGCCTAAAAACTTTATAATTTGTTCATATTCAAAGATTGAAATGAGATTTCCAGGTGGCTGTGATGTTATGTGTGGAAGCACACGTGTGCTCAAACGCACCTGCACGCACCCACACACAGAGGAATGATTCAGTTGATTATTCTAACTTGCGAAAATGTGCAAGAATGTGCAAAAAGGTGCAAGAATGTGGAGGCTTTCATTACTGCCTGTGTGGTGTCACATAGCTAGGTTAATTGAATTTTCATCATTTGAGAGAAGTGTTCAGACAGTCTAGTCTTGGAAATACTTCCATAAAGCAGTGATCCCATCTTGTTTTGGAGATTACATTTAACCACATCTTAGTGATAGAGTTGCCTGGTATTATCTTAACATTGCAGAACTTAGTTTCATTCTAGGTACCTTCTAAAGGAATTAAGTATTAAGAGAATTTGTGTGATCGTATACAATTTTAAAATGGCAAATGTTTTTAGTTTAAGCTTTGCCTAAATTAGGTAATTTGACCAATTTCAGTGACTTTTTAAATTGACTGTATTATTTCCATGATGAATGCCTAGAGTAAAGTTTATGAGAGGAAGTAAGTCCCTAGGCTCATAGATAATGGATTTCTTTGTTGTGCGTGGGTCTTTGGCAGAGGCTTAGCATTCAGACGCCTGTTGAGATGTATAAAACCATCCCCTAGTCAATGCAGTGTCCCTCCTCAGCAGAAAGGGGGTTCTTGCTTGGAAATGTAGTTGCTGTTCTGAGAACTAGAATGCAAAATGAATTTGCCTTTTCCTCCCTTGTGAAATGCAAGTAAACAGATGCTAAATAATGATGGCACAGTGTTTCAATCTGAAGCTCTCCCCAGGGGGTTTTCACACATCCTGTAGGCTGGTATGGGGAACAGGGCAAGTAGGAAGGGGAGGCCCAGCATGTTAGATTTCATGAGTGTGTATGGGGGAGGGGATAGTTTGCATGTAAATAAAGTTTAGAAATAGCACACAAAGATTTGGAAGGGGAATACAGAGGGTTGAGCAGTCCAGGGTCCCAGAGATGGCTAGCAAGGGAATTCCTCTTATTGCCACTCAATCTCACTAGTTTTGAATTGTGCTAATAAAGAATAAAATAAGATTTTGAAGTTATAAGGGCTATTAAGTATTGTTTATTCCTTCAAACTTTTTCTCTTTTTTGTTCTCTCCTTCTAATGTCTTACATAATATTTTAATAATAATTGATGTAATTGCAATAGAAAATTGCAATTCCATATCAAAGACTTTCCCTTGGCTTAATTATTATTGTGCTTGCTTTTGGTACTTGTAATCCTTCATGAAATTAACGAATGCTCTTCTTTCCCTGCTAAAAACTTAAACATTTATGTACCTTTCTTTTTCTTTAAATATTAGAGATGAGTCTTTCATAAAAAGATTCTTCTCATATTGCACTTTCTCATTTCTTAGGGCTCGCATATATCACAATGATAGAAAGACAGCTTCTGAGGGGAAAAAAACACCAGTTACAGACAGTCACAGTGTCATTTTCTTAGAACTAATCAGTTTACTACCTGCCTTAAATTGAATTGGTTCGTTCTTAGCCTGATTTAATTTTTTTCCTAAGTGATATGCACATTTGTCTTGGGATGGTACATACTTACACACACCCTGATCTTTATTGAGCACGTGGGAACTTATTACCTGCCAGATACTCTGTTGAGTACTGTTTAGACATTAAACTCATTTAGTCTTCACTGCAGCCCTCAGAGGTAGATTTTGTTGTTATCCCCCTTTAAGGATCTGGAAATTGAGCTGCAGAGAAGTAATTAGCCCCAGATTTGACAGTGAAGTGACTGGCAGAATCTGGGTTCGAATAGTCTGGTAGTCTGGTTCCTAACTACTTCTCTAGTTAAATATTTTTGAATAACAGTAAGAGGCAACCTCTATTTTATTTAACTCAGAAAAAAGTTCCACTTCTCATTCCATCGTTCTGCTCTCATCCCATTTTGTTTGTTTGTTTTGAGTTTTGGACACTTTTTTAGGCAATCTTCTGCAAATGTAGTACCTATTAGGGGAACCCTGCGTGATACTAATGAGGCTAAATATTTTTCTGTTGACAGGGAAGCCTTATCATCATCAAAGCTAAAATTCCAACATATTGCTCCATATGCTGTTGAAGGAGCCAGCAAAAATCTTCTTACTACCTGGTGACAGGTGTTAAATGCTGACCATGGCCGGGACCTGTGGAACCTTTTCAGATGCACTTCAGTTTATGCTTTTGTAAATCACAGCCACCATTCATTTTTTACTAGTTTAAGATAAGTATATACAATTCCACTAAATCATAGTAAAAGTTATTCTTCAACGAAAAGAATGGTTAATGATGGAAAGCTATTAAAGAAAGTTCTATAATAGTACAATTTTGTGGGGTTTATTATTCATATATTTATGGTTTGTGTGAACAACCATTATTCGGTTTACAGTAGATGTGTTTGTATTTATTTTCTAGTGCCTTTTATTTATAACATCCCTTTTGCAATCAGTTTGTAGCTGTGTACTTATTTTTAGATATTTTGCCATTTCTTGGGTTTTAAATTCATCAAGGCTATGGAAATTTAAAATAGTGGACAAACATTTATGTATTTTATAATGCAGAATGCTTGGGAAAATTTCTCTCCAGAGTATTCTAGTTTAAGAAAGTTTTTTTAAATGTGTAAATTCTCTTATAAGTATGTTGTTTATTACAACTCATTAAAACTACCTAAACTTTAGGTGTTAATTGTATTTAAGTAAATGTTATTTTTGTATTTCATAGTCTGAAAATACTGAAGATATTCAGTCCATGAAGATATTCAGAAATTAAAATCTTAAAACTCTTAATGTATTCAGTGGTTTTGTTGTGCTGCTTATGTTTAACAATTAATTCAATTTAAAAAGCTTTTAAAACCTAATTTACAGGCATAGTTCTGAGTGGGGATGTAGTAGAAGCTGTCTCTGGATCATTTTACAAGAGAGACAAGTAGAGGAAGAAAAACAGAAAACAAGAATAAGACCTTCCATCTTAAGGCAAGAAGAAAGCCCATAGGGACTTGAGTAGCCACACCAAATCTAAAGCAGACTGATACATTTGCAGGGAGGGAAATGAGGGGTCACTCTTTCATGTAGGAGCGGCAGTATCATATCCCAGAAGCGTCAGAGAACACCCTTTCTTTGCTCCATCCCTCAAATCCCTGGAGTGACCTCTTTGCAATTCTCACTTCAGATACAGTCTTGCAGCTGTAATTTAAAAGAATACAAGTAATTTCTGAAGAGTCATAATTGCAGAAATGCTCATCCTCCCTCAGAGCTTTTGTCCTGGTCCCCCTGCCTGGTACAGTCCTTCCTCAGGCCTCTGCTCATTTGTTACATCCTCAGATCATATTAGCTAAAACATCTGCCTGCCCACTGGCCTTGCTTTACTCTGCTTCATTGCACTTAGCATCACTCAAAGAGCAAGATATCTACAATCTAGAAAACACCATAAGAAAAACATAATATTTTTAATCTAGAAATTATAAAATTTGTTAGAATAAAGACCTATAACATAGACAGTAGAGTTATAAACATTTTATTTGCTTTTATTTTTTCCTTTTGAAATACAAAATGTGCACATTGAGTTTACACAAACACGCGATGGCATATTTCAGTGTACATGTATTGTACTACTCTTAATTTCTACACTGGTGATAGCAGGGCAGCTTTCAACATCCTATCTCTACACCAGAATAGATACCTGATTTATTGTTGCAAAGACAGTTACAAATTTCCTCCTACTGTAGCCTTTTGGTCTTTGTGATATTTCTGCAAAACAGGGGAGGTGTGAGTATCTTTAGTAATGTGGCAACTTTACAATTTTGGCTTAAGATCATTAAGAAGAATCTGAATTATTGGAGTTTTATGATGAACTAAATCATGATACAATCTAGATGAATTGCTTAGCACTTATATTCATTATCTGCTGAATTTTAGTATTGTACTTCTTGATATAATGGAATCACTGTTGCTTTCAAAGTGAGTTCTACTTGCTCTTTGTCCCCAGTAGGCATTGGGGTAGTCAAGGTTTCTTTGTCCCTGAATGGCATGTAATATAAAGGTGCTGTGAGGGAGTCAAGGGAAAGGGGATGGAATTGGCCTTTAATGCTGTTAAGAATTACTTGTTATAAAGCATTACCGTGTACTGGAGGGCAGATACCCTGACCCTTTGCATATGCCTGTAAACAGCCTCACTTTGTTTCACACTGTCTTGGGCTTCCACTTAATGACACAATAGAAAACAGTCAACCTGTAGGATTGAACAAATCCAAAATTATATACATCATGGAGGCCTTGGCTGTGATATGTATTATGAAAAATTAAATGTTTATTAAATAAGCTTTATTAGGCATATGCTGATATCTGGTGATAAATTAATTATTTGTTTCATGTTATAAAAAATGCCAGATAAATGAATGTCTTTAACAGAAGGCAGCAAATCCATAGAAACTGGGGCTATGTGTTTGTTTTTCTTAATTGTAGTAATCTTGTTTTGTTTACTTAAAGTATATAAATGGAATTACAGCATACAAACATGAAAATTAACTTCTGGAAATTAAATGCTGATGCCAATATTTTAGAAAACCATTTAAAATCCTGGGGCTGAATACATACAAATGAGTAGCAAAAAACACTGGTATTTTAAAATCACTGATAATGTGAAAGCCTCAATAGTCCCATGGCTAAAGAATCAATAAAACTAGATGCCAGATTCTATTACTTTTGAATATTCACAGGGTATGAAATGATTTAGCACATCCCATGAACTCAGTGGCATTATGAAAAGGATGCAAATTTATAACTGGAAAACTCAAATCTTTTGGGGATTGCTTTATATTAAAACAAAGCTTATTTGCATAATATGCCTCAGTGTAAAGCTGAGCAATCTATGCTAAAAGTGGTAGCTCCAACTTTAAGTGTGGTAGAATAGTTCACATTTGTCGTTTGATTGAGGATGTATTCCACAAGTTAAATCACATTTTCAAAGAGCTGCATGGAGCGCATTATGTTTTCATCCTATAAAAGAGAAACGGGATTAAATTCAACAGATCTGCAAGGGGAAGTACACTATTTTGCCTCTAAGTACTGCCTCCCGCCACCAACCGCCTATGCCAAAAGCTCAAATACTAAGTGTTTGCAAATGTAAATACCATTCTATCCATTTTCCACATAGGTAACTGTGGAGAGCCCATTTAATGTTTTATTGATTCTACCAGGCTTTAAACACTTCATTTAAATCTTACTTGGTGTTAATAGAGGGTATTTCTCAAATCAGAATGCCAGAATGGAAACTACAGAGGGTAAGACAAAGTGAGCAAATGGAAATTTTGGCATTCCGGGTAATCACAAGCCAAATCACAGAGACTTGGACATGTAGAAGGAAACAGAGCTTGTGTGTGAACTAAGAGCCAACTTCAGGAGGACTGGAGGCTGGGGCGTGGGAGACATGTTTGCAATAATTACGCTTCTCTTTCTGGGTCTGTTAGGGCTAAATCTCTGTGGCCTTTCGAAACCTTTAAAAACGAATGGTCTCTCAATGCCGAGAAAGAATTGTTTTGGAGAAACCATTGCCCAGTGGCTGTGTTCAGTTTAGCATATTCCATAGAAACTTAAGGGGACAGACTTTGGGCATTATCGGGGCACGTGGAGATTATATGTGAATGGTACTCAGTGAGTTGTTGAGAGTAATGGCAAATGGTAGCTGAACTAATGACTCCAATGCTAGAAGCCAAGTAAGAGCATCACCATTAAGCAGGTTGATGTCACCATCAACCTGTTCTATCTAAGTTAATGCTCTCAAAGACCACGGCATTGAAATAGGAGCTGAGAAACAAGCAGGCATCAGGAAAGGGAAGGTCTATCAATTTGAAAATAAAGAGAAAAGCTAAAGCACCAGCAAACCTCTTGGTGTCCATAATTATTTTAAAAATTCTTAATTGTGGTTCTACCCACACATCAAGCCAACTAATTCTAAGCTAATACTCGTCTCCCACCAGAGGATGGCCAGCCACCTGAATTTCTCCTCTGAGAGAATTTTCTGCTCTTTATTTTGTGACTAAAGACCATTACTGCTTCAGCCAAAAAGCCACTTCCTGTCCACATACATTAAAACAGTGATGTATCTCTTAGAAATCGGATACAGTCATGCGTCACTTAAAGACAGGGATACAGTTCTGAGAAATGGGTCGTTAGGCGAGTTTGTCGTTGTGTAAACATGGTACAGTGTACTTACACAAACCTCGATGGTATAGCCTACTACACACCTGGGCTATACGGCACTAATCTTATGAGACCACCATCATCTATGCGGTCTGTCATTGACCAAAGTATCGTTATGTGGCACATGACTGTACAAGCTTGTCCAGAGATGGATACTTGGCTGTACTGGAATTCTAAATCTACAGAGATATGATAGACAATATACATGTTATATGCTAATTCTGGGAAAAGAGCAATTCAAATCTCATGTGTTTCATCCTCAATGATGAGTAATCTCTAAAGGATTTGGGGAGAAAAACATGCTACAGGTGCAACTTTTGTATCTCCAGGGTTTCCTACATAACGTGCCTCAGGGTAGGCCCTCTTTAGATGTTGATTAATGGAATGTATGAATCTGTGGTTATTTCACAGTGGTAGGCTTACCTTGGCTGTATAGAAGTGGAAACCATATGACCTCTGTATTTTGCTCAATTCATGGTGGTGAGCTGACAATACTCAATCTAGCTGCTAAGAAGGCAAAAGTGATAGTTCCTTTACTACCATTACTTACTTTTTGGCAACTTTCGATGAACTCATCTATGGTAACGACTCCATCTTTGTTTTTGTCCATTTTCTGTTCAGGAAGAAAAAAACAAAAAAACTTTATTCAGACTTACCCCTTGATACCCTCACACCTGAACCAAAAGAGCTGAAGCTGCTTGTTTTGTGGGGAGGAACTGCTTCAGAGCACAAACTAGTACTTAGTGGTGAGAATCATATGGCCGACCACTTTTAGGTGGTTCCCTTTGCAGCAGAATGGTGAAGATCTAGAGTCACTCTGCCCTAGCTAAAATCCTCCCCTCTAGCTATGGCAGAGCCTTGCCATAAGTTTCAGCCAATTTGCCGAAGCTTTCAGAGCCTTAGTTTTCTCATCTGTAAAATGGAGCTAGTGAGGATTTATAACCTCATAGGGTGTTGTGAGAATTGAATGAAAACAGAACAAAACACGTGAAACGTGGCAATTGGTTAGTGTTCTATCTAGGATATGTGAATGTTCAGTAAGTACAGTTATTAGTATTATAATAAATTCAAAACC